TAATATTAATTACTGGCGTTCTGTTTTTGTTGAGCACTAAAATTTTATCAGGTTTTGTCTTATTATTATTTACTGTATGTATATTGAAATCAGATTTATAATTAGTTTCAGCGGAGCATGAATTCTGGCGTGAAACGTTTCACTCTATTCAGGTAATTGTAGATAAATTTTGAAATCAATGTAAACTAATTATAACTCACCTGTCTGGGCAAAATCGGTTTGAAATATGTTTTGTGTATTTTGGAACGGGTCTTTCAGTTTATAAATTCAGGTACTTATGAATCAGTTTTTGAGTCAGAAAGTCTGTGAAACGAATTTTCATCGAGGTAATTCAGAAGTCTGTTCTTTTGAAATGAATTAATTTAAGCTGAGTTGAGTATTTTTTTAAACGTAAAATATAACTTTTGAATATTACAAAGAAATAAAATGTCATTTTTGTTTTTCGTTGTATGAATTAATTCAATTAAAATTTGTGTGAAGTGTCGCTATCGATTTTAGGAATGTTTTTAAAGGTTTATAAATTTTTGTCATTTTGATAATTATGGATCTAAAAGTATATCTCATATGTTAAATGGTAATGGCATATGTAATTAAGGGGCTCCAGGTACTTCATTGGACGTGTGATGATGTTTGTCAGTTGCTTATACAAATGGGTTTGGATAAATATATTCCTGAATTCACAGTTAATCAGGTCAATGGTACCAAATTTTTGGATATGGATGGGAACAAACTAAAGGTTAACGTTCTTTTCCTTATCGTTATTTGCAGAACAATTTTGTTTTTGCAAACAACATCAGGAAGGAGAATGTGATGAACATTCCATAATATGTGTCGTAATGGCCTAATGAACGTTAACACTGGAGTGATTCAGACTAAATTTCGACTTCAATTTGGGATTGCAAAGATTTTATTTTTTATAAAAAGTTGTTTATATATGTTTTTATTATTGTAGGCAATTGGTATTCAAAATCATTCCGATCGTGCTGTGATCAAAAAAAAGATCAAGGCTATCAAATCAAAAATTGAACGGGAGCGGAAGCAGCTGGAAAAAGAAAGTAGATTGAGAACAGTTGCGCCTGTACATTAGTACAACTTCAACTTACTGGTGTCGCATTTTTGTAAAATAAAATTTGAGATGTATATAGGAAACTGAAGTCTGAGAGTTAGACCTTAAGGATCAATACCTCAAATTATGTAATTTATTATATTTATATGCACTTTGTGAAAGGTTGTGTTTATACTGCAAGTTTTGATCTACTTTTGTGGTTTCATGCTAAAACAATATTATGTTTTGTAGTTTTTAAAGAAATAGTGGAAAATTTTTTAGTACCGGTCAAACAATTGTTGATAATTTCGTATTTTATACCTGAACATCTCACTTTTTTTCGTTGCATTATATTCAAAAAGTTAAATTCATTGTATTTTTGAATTTTCAATCAGTTTTATAAAAAACCATCTCTCACAAATCATCCGTTCAGAATTTAAATACTGGGCATTTGCCACTTCATCGGATATTTGATGTTAGATTTATGCCTTTTGAAACAAAATTTATTCCTTACTTATGCAACTTATTTTATTTCCTTATGCAACTTATTTTGTTACTTGCGCAAGTTTTGAATTAAATGATAGTTAGTAAAACTAATACTCAAAAAATTATTGTGAAGGTAGATTATTGGTTATATTGCTAACTTTCCAGACTTATGCGACAATAGAATATTGTTGCAAAGTGTCGTACTACTGCAACAATTTTTATAAATTATTTATTTTAAAAAACATTGCTAGATCTTATTCTTCATTTTTTAATTGCCGCGTGTTATTCTCAAGAATTTTGAATAAAAAACCTTTTATCTTGAATTATTGTGTTTAGTACTGATAATATGTTCTCTTCTGAATTCTTTGCTGAAGTTTTTTAACTCATTTCTGCAAGTTCATACAAATTCTTGAGATTGATATTAAATATTGAATATTATTGTTATTATTTGAATATTATTATTATAAATATTATTATTATATTAATACTATATTATTAGTATTATATTATATTATATTATATTATATTATATTATAT